TCGCGAGCAACCCTCTTTCCTCCGTACGGCGCATGGAAGCTAAGTAATTTGCGGGCGGCGAACCTATACGCGGCGTCGAGGCAATTTCGAGTTTCTCGCGGCAGCTGGCCGTAAATTTGTACGCCGCGGGGCGGGGCGAGGAGCACGTTTTTATAAACGGTTCTTAAATTTTCGCAGTTACCGTAATATCTTTATAACAACGATTTCGGGGCTTTTTGCGGGGCACGTATGCGAACGCGGACGCGATGATGGTCGGTGCATCGGGTGGAAGAACACGTTGAACACCGCGGACGGAGAGGAAAAGGGGGCGCGAGGATCGTTCGAGAGATAGAGAAAGGGATAGAGGGCGAGGGTGAGAGAAGGAGGGAGGGGGCTAAAGGGCCGGAGGGGCATCTATCTATCAGCGGCGGCGTGAAGTGGGCGGGAGCATGCGCCGTATTGCCCCGTGCGGCCGCTCTCTCATTAACTCGGGACGCCGCCAGAGCCGCATCCGTGCAGCCGAACACGACTGCTGTAACCGCTGAAGCCGCGCGTTCCCTTCCGTCACCCCGCGCGTTTCCTCTCCCACAAACCGATTCCGGACCGTTTTCTTCGATCTTGCACGCCCTCTTATCGCGCTCTCGGTACGTCTCGGACTTATCGAATGTCGCGGCAACCACCCGACCCGCCATTCGATGGCATTTCGATACCCGTAGATCGCTTCGAACCGTCCACGCCCAGTTACCCTGCACCGCCACCGCCAACCGCCGTCTTCCTCGTACCAACGCGAACTCTACCGGTCAACTTATTGGGCTCTGTCGCGAGTAATGGCCGTTTTTAACACTCTGTAATTTTCGAAACGTACGTTTTCGTTGATTACTTTCAGGTACTTGGAAATTCAATAAACTTTGCACTTTCTAGTTACCATCGTTCTTATAGTTCACTACCGCTAAAATCGGGATCACTTTTGCTTTTACATTTACCTACGTGTCCTAAAGGTTACGGTTCCGTCCGCGATTGCAATCTAGAAGCCTCGTTCTATAATACCCTCTCCTTCATTATTAATGACCACTTTGTGTAACCTTAGCAGCCTGATTATAGTTCTTTCTATTTTAGGATGAAACACAATCATCGAATGTAATCTATAGAACGTGCACACGATCGAGTCTGTCGCGAGGTCACGGCGCTAGTGTCGTTCGACGATCTCTTCGCGATCTGTTGGCAACTTTCGATCTTTGCACACTATATGCACACACATATATATGTGCAGCAATAAACAAACATAACCTAGAAATGGTGAACCCGTAGTCGAAATACGTTAGTATCGGGGTCAGTTTACCCGTAAATAACGGAATCGACTCGAATTTTATTCAGCAGGTCGTCCGACGGGAATGACGGGGCAAGATTTTTGGTGATCACGGTTAGGCAGGTGCTGATTTGAGGAGGGTCGCGGTAGACCGGGGCCAGTGATTTCGGGACAGCGTCTTCTGGCCAAACTGCCGTGTCATTAAAATGGTCGATCGACGACCGTAACGTCGCGCTGATCCGCGTCCGAGTCGAATTTACACTGAGCAAACAACGATCGCGACACCGATCCTCCCCGTTCCGGGGGAACCGGGTATCCCCTCGACGACGAGCGCTCTTTTTCGGGGGGAACCACCGGGGGCCCAGGGAGACGTCAACGTCCCGTTACGACGTTCCTGGCGAAACGTTCGAATGCCTGGAACACGCCCAACGATTCTGGGAATCGCGTCGAAGATCGTGTCGGGCGCATTTGTCGAGGAAAGGACTTTCTTGGACGAGTATCGACACGCCCCCGATTAGCACGTCATTACCGCGCGTTTCGGGGGGAACGGGTGAAGATTATCAGTCATGAGAAGAACCCGGATAATTTGCGGATACCCAGAAATTTCAAGGCTGTCTTCGGAAAAATTCGCACGCCACCCGATAATTATAAATGCAAATTATTTTTCGGGATACTTTTACGGTCGCGAATTAATTAACCCGAGGGCTCGACGATGGACTCACGAAACTCGTCAATTTCACGGGTCTTGGGCGCCATGTTTGAAGCTACGGGACTCGTGAATGTTATTTGTTAGCGATTTATGGTAAATTTAGTCAATGCAATGTGAAATATGCGGGGCTCGACTATTGGAACGTCGAGTTCCAGTCGACATTTTTTCAAGTCCAAACCAAAGAGATAATAATTTCCACCGGATATATGAAAATTAAATATAATTGATTTTTTCTTATTATTCGATAACTTTTTTCTACACCATAAGAATTTTATTGTATTCAGTTTTAAAATTGAATTATTGAAATATTTATAAATGAAAAATTAAATTAATTTTTACACTTGAAAATTACGAAATAAATAACGTAAATTTCAAATAAAACACTTGAAAGCATTGGGGAGCAGCTGGTAACAAGATTGAAATATAATTTGGAGTGCAAAGGGTTAAAATGCTTACAGTGAAATATTCAAGTAGTTTGAATAGTCCCAGACGCTTTTAATCGTGTAAACTATTATAAAATAAGTCCACCAGAGAATTTTTACAGTTTGTACAAACCGTGGAGAATATTCAGAAACGTGGATACGTTGAACCGTGTTGTGGCACGGTTTGTATGGGTCCACCGACGACAGAATAATCTGAGGCGATCGTGTTAAGGCGGTTTCGCCGTGTGTATCTCGCGTAAATGCGGTCGAGAGCTCGATATCGGTTTCGCGAGTCGAATGCACGAGAGACCCTGGCCGCGGCGCGACCCAACGGAAGACGACTTTATTGGGTAGCCGTTATCGATTCCTCGGACACACGTACCGTGTATACACCGGGTAACATTTGCATAAAACCTTGACTCGCGAGCCCCGGAGATCGCTGGGATCGAGCGTAAACGATTTAGTGGGCGTATTTGCACCCGGTTAGCCACCGTTCTGTACGCTAATACGTTAATTGAAATCAAACGACCGGATAATCGCCACGGGAGAATCTTTCGACGCGTAATCGTCGATTCAAGCGCCGAATTTTACCCTTTGACTGTACAAAGACAGGCAAAACTCGACGAGTATCATTTTACTCGACTACTTATTTACTTGTTTCCCAGAAGGAACAATTCTCGAAACTTTGTTCCAACGATTCGTGGCCACCTAAAAGCCGTCGAGTCATCAAAGCGTCCAGGGGACAGCGTTCATTATGCCAGTTCCTAAAAGCAAGGATTAAGTTTAATGTGTGTTCGTAACGTTCGATAACTCCTACCTTGGCTTAATGGACGATTAACGAGTCAATCTTGTGTCAGTTTCTTGAGTAGTCGATTGTATGAATCGTTGGAAGAAGTTTCATTAAACGTACGTCGCATGCGGTTTACGCATGACGGTGCACGCGGGCACGTTCGTTTCAGCCTGCCGGTCGGGCAGTTCGTTCGACGAACGATTTTCTAATTGATGGACAAGTCGCGCGGAACCTATTACTTGGCCTCCTTTTTTTTACTTTGCCCGTTTAAGGACGCTCGACCGTTCTATTACGCTCATTGCCAGTGGTCGGTGCAACGCGTACGGGGGAAGCTGTCAACGAACTCGATGCAACGAGTGGGGATCGTTTGTGTTCGTATCAACCCTTTGCACAACCGAATTATATCTCTATCTTGTTACCGGTTGCTTCCAATGCTTTTACGTTGATTAAAAAATATTTTATTTTGTAATTTTCAAATGTATATCTCTTTGGTGTTGGACAAAGGAGTTCCTGAGATAAAAACTGACGTCGAGTCGCATTCGACACGGGAGTGCAGAGGGCTAATGGAACGAACAACTGTAAAACTGTACAACATTTGGGCGTTACGAGAATGGGGGGAGAACGAGGAAATTGCAATTAATCGAAACCGATTATTTCTCGTCGAACATAGGAGGCTGGTAATTAGGTACCGGTCCGCGATGATTAATGGAATGTTTCGTAGCGTTAAGTTTGTCGCCGTTAACGATAATCCCTCGACGCGACGGAAGAAAAATTCCCTTCTGTCACGCGTGTATCCGCCCCGGTCGTAAGCGCGGAAGGAGGCCGCGGCGACGACGACGGGAGAGACCCCGAGCAGGTGCGTCGTCATTCACGCAGATAGATGATCGCGGATAACTTCGGGATCGCCCCGGCTGTACGCGCGCTTATTCACTATCAAATGTACCTTTCCTTCGACATTTAGCGTTGTATAAATTTCCACGTTTAACGAGATCCAAGAGATCGCCGGCGATAACTCGCTCGGCGTTATGATTAAGGTGCCGACGTTATAATGACGCGTAATGATCGCCTAGCTCGCACCGCCGCTTACCCCCAGACCCCGCGCCATCTTTAGTCGCGAATAACGAATAATTCTAACTCCGATTCAGTGCTTTAACTTCGTTGTTAGTTAACCTTTTGAGGTCCTATGTATAGCTATATCTATCTTCTCTCGATCCTGTGATTCAATTCTGATCTTTTTATTTAGATTAAAACAAAATTAGGACGATTATTTTGATTAAAGATCGTTCCATTTCCATCTCCAACAACCTTTCAACGATATATTATATAATTTAAAAATAATATATAATATATTATATATTAAAAATTATTATATGGATATTAGTTAAATAAATATATATATATAACATTTAAATTGCATTAAAAAATTTAATAAATTATTAATATCTAATAAATTTAATAATAATAAAAATAAATATAAAGTAAAATTTATAAATTTAATTTCGAATTAAAAAATTGACTATATTCAATTAATCTATATAAATATCCTAAGTATCATTCTATTAATAATCCAATAAGTAATATAATTAAAAAATTAATTTGTAAATTATAAATATGGATAAAATATATTACTTTTCTCACTTATATCAAGTGCTGTAAATCGGATTTTCGTTGCTGAAACAAGGGAATAGTTGAACCGCGAAATGTCTAGGACCTCAAAGGGTTAAGGATAACAGAAAGTCTCTCTATTTTACGTCGATCGTGGATAGAAATTGGTAGCTTGCGCGTTGTACCTACCGATCGAAGTCCGTGAGCCTGGACGAGTCTCGAAAACCCTTGGCGAACGGGTTGCTGTCGATCTTCAGCTTGGTAATCTGCAAAACGATCGTCACTGGGTCAGTAATTGCGTTTGCATGCGCATTCGTAGCCGAGAAACTCGACTAATTTCGCGATAAGGGTTGCACACACGCGGGGTCCCCGCGTATCGCGGTTACCGGGTCCCCGTGATCGGGAAATTAGTCGAGACCTTAACGCGATCGTCGTTCTCACCAACTGATTCTGATAGGCCGTCACAGCGGTGAAGATCGCCTCCGGGAATATGAACGTTTTGTGCTCCTCCTTTTGAAGATCGGTTATGTGGAGATTGTTGTCGTCCGTTTGCCGGCACCTCACCAAATGTATCCTCGGCTGGTATCTGTGCATCGAGTTCAGGACGATCTGAAAGCCAGAAAGCAGGAGAGTTTCAAATCAAGGCGTTCGATGATTTACGCGTTCTTAATTAAAGTCTCGGGAAACACGACCGCCAGCCGCAAGTATAAATCCTGTACGCGTTTCATACGTTAACAGGCGACGACGGGCCCCCGGCCACTTATCATTCCTTATCTAGCGATCGATAACGCAACGAAAATATTATATCGCGATTCGCGAACCGCGTTCGTTCGGGTTACCGGTTTTGCAATCGTTCGCGTCAATTTTGCAACAGGTACTCGCGAATAAATCAACCGAGACCGCTCGATTCGAACTACAGCGAATTTTCGAGCTGGGTTGGGGGAGGGGGGCGTTAACGGCGATTCACCTTGCGTTTTAAACTTTTAACGACGACTCTGTTATTCCCGCGCGCCTCTAACGTTCGAGCCAGCTATGGTCGACGCAGCGCCGAGAGGAGAAGTCGCCTATCGATTTCCTGTCCGAAACAATGTGACTTTCTCGCTCGGATATCGCGTAACGCGCGAGCGTGTGAACGCGCCTGAATGCTTTAATCTCGGAACCTTTGCGACTTATTCGTGCGAAACGCTGAAATAATGTTTCCGCGCGTCAACCTCTGCGTCGCGACGTCAAACCTGGACGCCCGCGTACACGTCATCTTTCCCTCGATCTGACTTAATCGATAATTTCACGGTCGCGGACTAATAATCCAACCTTTCCCCCGCGATTGCTTTCTTTTTTTAAGCCGCTTGAAACGCCGCGTACAGACTGTGTTAAAATATTTTTCTTCTAAAGAATAAATTTGCCAAGTTATTCTCTCATGTTTGCACAACATTCTGTCACCGTTATAATGAAATTAAAAATTACCAACAAGCAAATACAACGAACGTAACTCTCGAAGTGGGGCCTCCAAGAGGGCGGCCATCTTGCTAACGCCGCCATATTTTAGTTTCTCGTGGTTTGAGTCATTAGAGACTTTTTACCCGGAACAGAACGTCGTCCTGGATTTATTACATCCTCGCGATGATATTAATCGTCCGAACAATATGTTCAAAACTAATTACGTGTTAACAAACTATCGAGTAATTGGAATCTGTTCAACAAACGATTAATAGCATAGCGTCTAAGGCAGGATTTTCTGGGTAAGCCTAACTAATGACCTCGAGTATACAGGGTGTCCCGGTAACCAACGACGTCTCCGTTACTTTTAACGACACGAGGGAATTCCTGAGTATGATGCAAAATATTAATATAATAACGAAGGAAATGCAATGCTCCTCGAGAGGACGTTTCGCATCGAGCTAATGAGATACGAAAACCGCCATGGCGGAGCCAGTCGAACGAGCACAGGTGGTAAGAGGACTGTTCGTGACCAATTCTCGGTGCCTCGATCGCCGGGGACCGAGTTCAAACCGAGTTTAAAGTCTCGTTCGCACGACCGGATCCATCGTGGCACCGAAACTCAAGAAGCAAAGAGCACACGCGTGGACGATCCTTCACCTACAGCGACGCTCACACTCGTCCACTCGATAAACCTGTCGCGAACGTATCCAATCGGATAACTTATTTCGGTGTCCGTGAAACGAGGAAGCCTGCGATCGCAAGATGGAACCATAGTTTCACTTTACTTTGGAAAAAACTGAAGAAATATTTATTTCAAAAGTAGATTCTTCTGATGCTCCAAAACCCCTATTGTGGTCGAGTCTTTTATTTAATTCAAATAACTCGTTAATTGTTTGAATAAGTGTTGGAAGAATTGGAGCCAATAAAAGAGTACAATATTAGGAATCTTAAGAGATGTTACTCGTAGACATGTTTTTTATCGGTCACACGGTCCCCCCGATCGAAAGTCGAGCCGTTATCGGGCGTTTGGGCGGCGTTATTAAGGTCGGTGATCGTTGCGAAACGTAAGGCGCACCGTGCATCCTTGGGAAAGCGTTATTAAATACGATTTTTATTAGCGACAAGATTATCGCGCGCGAATATATCTCCGATATCTGAGGACGGGATCGCGCGTTAACACGCGGCGAGGCATCCTACGACACGAATATACTACCGTGCGGGTTACGAAAAAACGAAAAAAGCCCCCGGGGTCCCGAATATCGCGTGAAGCGAAACGTGTCGTTATCGCGTCGTTCGATAATTAACTAAACGTCTCAATTCTTATTTTTTTCTTACGACCGCGTTAACACGTTACACCTTTTTTTTCTCTCGTGGACGTTCATACTCGGTCAAACGCGTCCCGTAGTATTTTTTTTAACTATATAGTTGGCTATCAACCCTCTGTGGATTCAGAGTCAAAGTGAAGTTTTGGTTCTCGATGAGTAACCAACAATAATAAGCTTTATTTTAGAGTTTCCAAGAGCAAAACTATTTTATAAAATTATCGTTGAAACTACGCAAAAGGGTTGACAATTACGGAAATAAAAGGACCGATAGTTTCCAGGTGTGGTTAAGAATCCTATCTGCGTTTCTTTGGGATGCATGATCGTCGAGGGTCGTTATAGTAACGCCGTTGGTTTTGTTGCAAAAGGATAATTCGACATCGTCGTGACGATTATGGAGATTCTTCCTGTCGGGTGGATCGTTGCGTTTCCCAAAGGCTCTCGTGCATGTTCTCGCGCTTACGCGTACGTTCGCGCCGTTCCCGTAAATCGAAATTATCGCGGTAAATAGCAGTTCGAGGGGCGCGTAGAATCGCGGTACCGAGAGAGTCCCGATCGACTCTCATCGTCGGACAAGCGCAATTTGCATTCAGCGATACATCAAACAACGGCGGCGTCTATGTAATGCACGTTGATAGCGGCATTACACGCGCGATTTATAGTCGTTTTTCTCGCTCCATCGGGCCCCGAACGCCCCGAACGCCACGGATAGTTCTCGATCGAACGGGCCCCTAACGCTCTCTGCCTACGATCCGGATGGAAATGTCCCCTCCGTCCCTCCACCGCAACGAGAACGTTTTGTTACTTAATCCGGCGGCTTCGAACGGTCGTTCGGTCGTAATTTATTTTTATAACGCGAGATTATACCCGTGAAATTAATATCGCTCGTTACTGTTACCGTTATCGATATCCTACGCGTCGAAGATCGTTGTCGTTCACGTTGTCTTCGCGCGTTTAAACTCCCGGCAACGGCTTACAACCAGAGAAAAGTGTCCATAAATCTACTACGAAACGTAATAATTCGATCGTAAAATTGCAGAGTGAATTTGTGCCTGGGTCAATTTTGACCCGAATCTAAATTTCGGTACAAGGATTATCGATCGATCTTATGCGTAGTTTAACAATTAATATTCTGAAACCAACGAAACATTTTTGGTCACACATTATAATTTTCGGTAATGAATTTTTTTCTCGAAAGGGAGTAAGATTTCGGGGGTATGTCTATTCACCGAAAATAATTGTAATCGACCACCCGAACTAAAAATATTTTTTCCAGAATAATTTGAAACTTTTTAGTTTCGTCGAAAAATTCACCCACTTATTGAATTTTTTTCTCGAAACTGGTTAGGATTTCGAGGGTATGTCTATTCACCAAAAATGATTGTAATCGACCCTCGGAATGATAAATAATTTTTTTAAAACGATTGGAAAATTTTTTTTTCTCCGAAAAATTTGTCCACCTACCAAAGTTAATCTTTCTTAAAAATTTGTTTTTGACTTTTAACAAACGCAACTGTGGGTAATTTAGTGATAGAAATTATCAATAAATAATAAAATATATAACCAAGAATAGTCGGGGTAAGTATCTCGGTTATTCGGACAATCCGGATAATCGAAACTCTACTGTATCGTGGCGTAGCTACATTCGAACCAGCCAGTTCCGAACGCCGTGTTAACAAAGAAAAGAATGGCTACGGTCAATGGAAATGGCGTCATCTTGCAGCACGACAACTTCGGACCGCATGTTGCGAAGGTGACTCCTCGGAAATTGAAAAAGGTGTCATCGGAATTTCTGCGCCATCCGCCATCGTTCACGGGATATTGTTCCCCCGGATTATCATCCGTTTCACAGCCTTGGCCACTTTCTACGCGGAGTAAAAAATTTCGAGGCTATAAAAAAATCATCGTGTATTCGCGAGCAAGCAAATACAGCGAAAAACCCGAAGGGTCGGGGAATAACAATTAAAGAAGACACTCTGTTTTACACCGCCTCTAAATTGTCGAATTCTAAATCAACGCTCGCTGACGTTCGGTTCGTTCGTTTCGATGACTAATGTACACATTCTCGAGCGTACAGGAATCTCGACGAATCGAAAAGACACTTGGACCGCCTGCTGCTACGAAATCAACGTTTTTCTTTACAACCGTTCATTTCTAAACCCGTGTCCACATTTTTTCGTGTATGTTTCGGGAGTAGCCAAAAGTTCGAGGCATCAATTCCACCGGTGTGGAATCGTTAAACTTTATCCCGCTCGAAATATACCCAAGGACGTGCGGGGAAACGAGCGACGCGATAAAAACCGTTTCGCGGATAACTTCGAAGCGACCGTTTCCACGGCCGAGCACGGTACGCCGCGACGCAGGTGTCCGGAATGTAACCGCGTAATTACGCGAACACTACGGGAATTATAGTCGTATTAATTAACCGGTCAAAGGCGTAATTGGCTCGCTCGTCGAGGTGTCCCGGCGCCACTTCATTGATTCCGCTCGCGCGTTAAATTCGTGGCTTCTCGCGTCAAGTCCCCTACAGCCTCTTTCAAAATCGACCGCATTCCATAGCCTCCAAGGTCAAACCATATCTACAATTTCTCCACCACTAACATTCTACCAATTTCTCAAAAACTAATTACTTTATTTTAATTCACCATACATTTTCACTATTCGTGATTCAGAGACTTATTCTTTCCAGATTTATATTTATACTTGACTGAATGTATAAAAATTTAAGCAATTTTCTATGAGGGAACTAATAAACACTTATCTCCATCGAATTTTACATTTCGCGAGTTTCAATTTTCTAGATATTTTCATAACTCTCGTTTGCATTTTTGGATGTTTGTTTTACTT